AAATTTTATAGGAATGCTCTCTCTTTTGAGATTCCTGATAGATTCTTATTTGATCAAGCCTGATCCAGAAGCCAAAATATAAAAGTGAATGAAAAATAGTTGAAAAGAAGAAACAGTATACTGCTTAGATGGTACTATTGATACATCTCAAGGAGGAGGGGGAAAGAGAGAGAGAAGTTAATTGAACTTATTCAGATCTCAATAAAGGTTCAGCTTTGAATCAGGGTAAAGTTTGTAGTTGCTTCTGATTTTATACAAACTGACTTTCCCATCCTTGTTGTTTGGTGCATGGCAGTAGTAAAAACCTTCCAAAAAATTATTCAAGCAGGACCTCCATAAATCCATGTTTTCCACCTCCACTACAATTTTGTTTTTTTTTCCCCCAAGGCATTTCCTTAACCAAATGCCACAACACTGATTCCAATACTTAAAATCTTATTGGCACATTTGGTTAAAAATAATCAATTGGTAACAGATTACTATTGAAATAAAAGTTACTTTTAAGTCCTTGGTTTATTTAATTTACCTAAATACAAAAAAATCAGCTAAATCATTGCAAATCTCTACCTTTATCTTATTACAATGGGTTATTCTTCTCTGAATGATGTCAAGACCTGGAAATGGGACAGTCTAGATTTCACAGTCACATTAGATGTACGAGCAAAATTCTCTTGCAGTCTACATAATAAGCAGCCATGGAGCTGACAATAAACACACTTAGAAAATATTACATTATTCTGCCAGTCTCACAGAGTACCTAATCTTTTCACAACTAGTGCCCTTCTCCCAGAGGCCCCAATTCACTAAAGTACGTAAGCACATCGCTAACTTTAACCACATAAATAATCCCTTTGGAGTTAACAGTACTACTCAAATGTCTAAAGTTATACATACACTTAAGTACTTTACCAAATTGGGGCCTATATCAGCAAAGTTGATCCCTGTCCAAAGAAATTTCCTTTCTTGTCTTCAGCCCTGATTCAGAAAGGCATTCCTATTCAGGAAGAGCATTTAAACATATGCTTAAATTTAAGTGCTTGGGCTTAAGACTCTTTCAAGTCAACAAGGAAGAAGATGTGCTTAAGTGCATTCCTCTGGGACTAATGAAGCAAACCAATTGTTAAAGAATTCTACCATCTTGTTATCCTTTTCTCTAGTTGTCCACTGTCATTTCTAGTGCATTGTATTTCCTGTAGATATTGCCTGTTGAAAATGCATTCACAGAATCCAATAGAACTGACTTTAATATTCTTCATACTTCAATCCTAAAGTAAACTTCCTTCTGTTTAGTTCTTTCAAATACCAGGACTCCAGATTTTTTAACATTTTTATTAGTCTCGATCCTTTTTTATTTTTATTCTGTTCTGCAGGTCTATGTACCAGAGCAGTTTCTTTACCTCTTCTTCAGTTCAGATGTAAAAAAGTATTTTATGATAGGACAGGAAGTGGCCGGTAAGTGGGAAGAAAGCTCCTTCAGGAAGCTCCCCTCAATTCCATCTTATCTTTGAACCTTATCATAACACTTTTGCCCTTGGCTATGGAAGTATGGAAGTGCTAGGCTATTTTCTTTGCAACTTATCAACACCTTTCACTGAATCACTTAAACTTAACTTTAAATTAAGCTTGCTTCACTTTTGTTTAAGTATTTGTTACTCTTGCTCAATGAGACTTAAGCACAGTTAAAATAAGCACGTGCTCAAGTGCTTTCCTGACTAGGAATAGTCTTAAGGATATGCTGGATGGCACTGGAAATTCAGGAGTAGTAGTAGGTGCTATCTCTTCCCACAGTCTGAGTGTATTAGTTTTCCAGTTAGCAGAAGACTTGGACTCTGTTTCCCTACCATGTGCTGAAGCTCATATGACAGTTTATCATATGTACTAGTAGTAGGCAACCATAGATTCATCTAGATCATGGTGTATGCATGAGAGGTCACCAGGACCTTTGACGTGTATGCCTAGGCAGGAGTATGGAGGAGTGGAGGCTGCGCCAGACCTTCATCCCTGCTTTAGACCACTGAGACAGTATCCAAAGGCCAGACTCAGTCCAGACATTTGGTGCCTAATTATATACATGTTCAGGAACTGAATCCGGGTCTCCCACATGGCAGACAAGGAGTCTACCACTGAACCACAACAGTGGGTTAGCATATGTAGATACTGTCAAAAATCCTGTGCTTTTCCATTTTAAAACCCTATTCTTTCTTTATTTATTAAAAAGATGTTAGATAATTCTGAAAATTACACACAAGCCTTCATAAACATTTAGTCTGTGCTTCTTTAAAATATGTACAATATTATGGATGCAAATGTGTTATTCATTGAGTTCACATTCAACAATATTTTCTTCAATATCAAGTCCCAAAACTGTAATAGAAGCATGATTTTCAGAAGTATCCTGCCTTTCAATTTTTGACTCTGGGGATTTTATGATTAACTTCAAATTGGAGCAGAACAAGGTCAGTTCTCAATACTTTTGAAAATCCTGCCCAGAGTACCTAGTGAGAGCACCGGGTATGCCATTATCATTAATTTTGCAATTTGATGTTATGGCAATGACTGCAATAGGCTGTTTAGTCC